GTACCACCAGCGAATTTGCTGAGGGTACGCTCTGTCCCCTCATCCAGGTCATTGATGAACATGTTGAATAAGACCGGACCAAGCACTGACCCCTGGGGCACACCACGAGATACAGGCCTCCAACCAGATTCTGCATCACTTATCACAACCCTCTGGGCTCTGCCATTCAGCCAGTTCCCTACCCACCTCACTGACCCCTCATCCAACCCACACTTCCTAAGCTTGCTAATAAGGATGTTATGAGAGACCATCAAAAGCCTTGCTGAAGTCAAGGCACACAACATCCACTGCCCTCCCTTCATCCACCCAGCTGGTCATGCCATCATAGAAGACTATCAGATTGGTCATACTTGGGTTGATGCTTGTGTTCCATCCCATCTGACTTTAATGGATATCAGCAGGATCATATCTGGAAATGAAGGCAAATAGCCTAAAAAACGCAGGTGCAAAGCTCAGCAGCCCACCTGCAAGGCAACACAGGTCATCATGAACATATTACCTCGGTGCTGTGACTCCTCAAAGGATGCAGAATCCAGTGCGAGGTCTGCTGCTTAATATTCATAGTCCTCCATGGTAATGGCTCTGGCCTCTGAGATCAACTCTCACTTTCTGACCATGACCTTCCATCATACAGGTACATTCTGCTCTAAGTAGGAAATCATTGGGAGAGGCATATGGCATGGGAGCTCGAGCTTTCACAGGAGCTAGACCTTAATGATGGATCTTGCTCCCACAGGAAAAAGGAACGACTACTAACTTCACTGCTGCAGAGCTAAAACCAAAACTCACATGTGAAAGGAAATAGAAAGGAAACAGGATGATAAAGAAGACACAAAAGAGAAAATATGTTTGCTACTGTCCAATTAATCTTACAAATGCAGAAATAAGGGAACTGGCTTGTTTATATTCCTTCAATTAAATGGGAGATGCTCAAAGTCTGAACTATAAAATACATGGCTATATTAAAGCTCTTTTGCTTTGTTTTGTAATTCACTCCTGCTGTGCCACTGCTGCAAACATGCACACGGGTATCGCTACATATTGAGCCATAGGCATTTTCAAAGTTCATCTCATGACCCTGTCAGTTTTGAAGTTTAACTTAACAGCAATGTGCTGTGTTGTGTGGCCAAAGACAAGTAGCCAGTTCAGGAGTGTCCTCCTCACAATAACTTTCCACAGGGCCTGCTAAATGCGTGTCTCCTAGAAAAGCATTCTAAGATGTTTCTGTGCTCCTCTGATTCTAGTCTTGAAGTTATGAAGCCAGGGCCAACTCAGCTATATTTTACTGGACACCTGATTTGTTGTAAATGCTACAGCTCGTTTAGTTCTTTGTTCCCTGAAAATTACTGTGACTATCCCTCAGGCTCTTGTGAGAGCCACCACAGTGAGACGTCCTTATTTTCTGCCAACTTATTTTCTTCTTATTCACCAAGTCACACAAAAAATTTTGTTTCCGTATTTCATCCAGTTCTCCTGTCCAAGAATTTACTGAAATATTGGTTAGCTAAGGAAATTCCCAGCATACTGTGAATAATTTTCATACAAATTTGGGAGTGTAGAAAACCACTTCTCTCTCTGTCTCTAAAACTCCTCCCACATCTATGTTCATTTAATACCATAATTCCCCTTTCCATTTTTTAACTCTTTCCTCAGATACTTTTTCCATTAATTTTATAACAGCACTGTCTACTTATACTTGCACTTTTTCTGAGCAGTCTTCCTTCTATCACCTGCAACTGTCTTCATGGTACTTTTTACTACAACGGGGGTATCCTCACCAACCTGGACAGTCCCAGTTTCTCTAATTAGACCCAGAGCTCTTCAACTCATGGCCTGCAGACCACATCAGGATAGACTAGCTCAGCACGCAGTGGAGGTCTTTGGCAAGATCCATGGATT